TAAAATCTCATCCCAGCAAAACTTCTTTTACTCAAGCAAAGCATCTTAAATATTAACCATATACTATATAGCATTATTATTATAGTCTAGGCGATAAATATTATTAAGTTAACAATGGTGTGAAGGATGGTTTTTAGTCAAAGACCATAGTTTGAAACAAACATATTTCACTTGCCTTTTCTCAAATAAATTTCGAATAAGGTTCTCCAATTAATTCTATAATTTTTTTTGTGAATCCCTTAAATTTTTTATAATCTATGAATTGGGTATAACGATAAATAATATGCTAACTATATTTCTTAGTATTTGATAAACTTGTTAAAGCAAAAGAATTTAAAAAGGCATATATTCTGAAATAAGGCTTAATGTATCTGCACAAGCAACTAAAATTCGAGATAACAAATCTTCTTGTGTAATTTTTTTATCTTCTAAGAAAGGCTGTTTAGGATTTGTAGAATCAGGCTTTTGTCTTGCATCAATATCAATAATCAAATAAAAAGACTAGTTACTATCAATACATTTGTAAGTATCAGATATTCTATAAACTTCAGAGGGATGATTAACTAATACAAACTTTTCTTTTATTCGAATTATATATTGAAAATAAATCTTTTTGGGCTAAAAGTGCAGTATCATTTCTATAAAAAGAGCTAGTATGACTATTAAATATGAGCCAGTATTTATAAAATATATATTCTTTATAGTCAGGTTTATAATCAAATCTGTTAAACCTATAAAAAGTTTTTTTGCTTTATTATATTTGGCTGACTTGTGATTTAAACACTGTTGTTGTAAACTTGAAGAGCTATTGCTTTGCAATAATAATTCACAAACCCATTTTTTGCTTCACTAAACAAACTTATTTTATTAATTTGTATATATTTGGAATTTGTATTACGTTGATTTAATAATTTATAATAAAAATATCTTAAAAAGTTTAATTTGAAAAATAATTATTTTATATACAAAATTAAAAGTTGTAATTAGAGTACTAACAGTTTTAGATAATATTTTAGGGGTGGGGGGTAAAGCCAAACCTTATCTCAATATAATACTAAAATTTAATTGGTTAATAAAAATATTACCTGGGGAAGGGGGTAGAGCTCTATAATAAATGAATATTAGATAATAAATGTCAGAGCTCTTATTGCTATTAATAATAATATTTTATTCTTGTCTATATATTTATATTGATAGATGAACTTGTAGAAAAGGTTGTTATTGACAAGATGATTATACTCTTCATTAGAAAATACAATCACATAGTCCTTATATAGAATGTAATATACCAACTGTCTCTACATATTAGTCACATAATATATTACACCTAAATTTTTGTATATACAGTGCAGGACAACAAAAAATATCTAATTTTTTAGCAATTGTTAAATGTCTAATAACTTTATAACACATAATTATTTTAAAAATCCTTCTTACAGATTTATTATTTATAACCT